AGTGTTATGCTGCTTTGAAACATCACTGTCACTGTAAACAACAGGCTAATAAAAATATAACAAACCAGCAATCTTCTTGCTGTGAGGTGGTCAAACTACCCACTGTGCCACTGTGACACCCATTATTTTTATCATTATTATTATTAATATTATTATTATTAAATAAAAATGAACAGGAGGAGGTGTTTAAAACCTTCGTTCTCCGTGACACTAGGCTGAATATCTTTGCAGATGAACAATGCAATAGCATTCGTTATTGGCGTAGAGCGAGCAGAACTGTTGCACATGGAAAAAAAACTTGCAATGCTTTTCTCACCACTTTTGGAGCTGGTAGCTACAGTTGAAGCAGTACAAAAGCCGGGGATGCAGAAACACTGGAAGATGCTTTCACAACAACACCGTGGCGCCGCTTCAAGTGAGATATCAGATTAGTCGTACTGCCCGCGTATTTTACAGATGCGCGGCACATTTTGCAAATTGCATCTGTCCTGTCATGTCGTCCATCCTTAAATCCATAATGTTGCTTGCCATACTTTAGATTTAAAACTCAGTGGGGAATAAAATGTGTTTTGCTTCTCGCGCTTTCTGAGGGCGCTCCACTAGCTTCATCCGCACACCTGATACACTGAGTTGTAGTGTGTGCACATCCGCAAATCCGTTGCTAAGGCTTACTTTATGTAGGTCGATTAAATTATGCGCCAAAAACAGGTTGACAACACTTGTTAATAAATAAAAAATACATTCTATATTAAAAATATAAGCTGTATCTCGGAAAAATCGATGCATCTCGCAAAAACCGATGCATCTCGATTTGCTTCCAAAATTTCATTCATCCTCTGCTGCTCTACCGATGCACTCGCATCGTGCACGCGCATGACCGCGTATCGATACATATCGGTTAATCTTCCCATCCCTAATATATATATATATATATATATATATATATATATATATATATATAGGTCTAAACCAATATGTGGATGAGTATAGATTGTGGCAGAATATTTTAAGAATTATTTTATAAGAATTAAATTTTTATATATATAATATATAACTTTTATTTTGTATATTTTGTAAATGCAACAAGGTAATTGCTGTAAAAACAAAAACGTATATAAAATGTATTGTATTTCAATGTGTACAAAATGAAAATATTTTAGCAAAATAAAAATTACAGTAGCTGCGATATAAGTTTAATGGCGCATGCCAAAAAATCTAAGAACAGGGATTAATGGCTTATAATGCTGAACTGACCAAACAATAATTTTAAGTTACCACAGCAATAATTGAATTCACCCACAGTAAATCTGTCTCCCACAGTCTTCCTCCCTGACGGCTCAAAGCAATAATAAACCAAGCCGTTTGCTTACACTAGCTGGATGAGGTTATCTGTTATAAGCCATCTCTGAACACGAACATCAAGTTAACAAAAGAAACTGTTTGAGTGTTAAATTACAAGCCTGCTTCTCAATCAAACGTTTGACAGCCTCAAATCATAGTCTCTTTAACAATTATTCCGTGGTGACTTTAAACACAGGCCAAAACTAGATAAAACGCTCTCATTTCTATGCAAAGCTTCTAAACATCAATCTAATTCTGTGAACAGTTTAGCCAGATTTACTCTTCTATCAACAAGTGTGTTTATTGTTATAAAGTTCAGTAATTTACAGAATAACATCTGAAGTCTTTTCTAATTAACCGAAGCCCTTGTGGGAAAGGATATAACACATTTGAAATACACTTGACTCTGTGGAAGAATCTTCAGCATTTAGCCAAATCTGCCAGTTATACTGTATACATTTATAAAACAAAAATAATAAGTACAGATAAATATTTAAAATGCTCTAGCCAAAGAGATTCCTGACAAAACCCCACAAAGCTAATTAAACTGGAGGATGAAAAAAAATCCCTCTGCCGGTGTGCAGTCATCTGTGCCGGACAGTGAAAGGGTGGAGGATGTTCTTTCCATGGCCATTTGTAAGAAAAAAAATCAATTTGGTTGATATTTAAAGGCTTCAGCCATTCAGCACTTTCTTTCACAATGGGCTCGTTTGCATCTCATTTCACACAGTTAAGTGGCATGGAACCCTCATATCTTATACAGTGGAGAATAGAAGTAGAGGGTCAACTGGCTATTTGTAGAAAGATAAATGCTTTATTGATCTGATGAGCAACTCAGTAAGTTAAATAGTTGCCCTTCCTAATACATGAGAGGCAATCAACCCGTATAGTGAGAAACGTCACTGTGTTCCTTTAAATGACAACATGTTACGAAGTCAAATCTGACATATTAAAATCACAATTATTTGCAAAACATCATGTTATCTGGATGTTCATGACTTATGTGAAATCTGCTCTAACCTCAAATAAACCCTGGATAAACATACAGAAGGTAAGCATCACATTATAACATCATTTATCATTAACCTTAATCGACCCACCATCTGTGCCTCTATTACTTTACAATACTGCACATAACACACCTAATTTAAACAAAAGGAAGTAATTCACATTTTTAAAAGCTTGTTTAATAAATACCTTTTAATGATTTTTGTGCAATATATGTGAAAAATTCTTAGGAAACAACCCGAACCAATCCTTTAAAAAAAAAAAGAGCCAAAAATGATTTTTGGTTATGTTAAAATTTTTTAATAAATGTAAAGAATTTATAAAATTTTTTAAGGTAACTGGTTGCAAACTATTTATATGGGATGAATTTAAACATTCATTCATTCACTTTATGTTTGGCATAGTCCCTTATTAATCAGGGGTCAGTTCTTAATTCAGTTTTCCTATAGCGCATGTCTTTAGACTGAGGAGGAAACCGGAGAACCCGGAGAAAAAAAACACATTAACACGGGGCAATCATACATACTACACACAGAAATGCCAACTGACCCAGCCAGGGCTCAAATTTACGACCTCTTTGCTGTGAGGTGCTTGTGCTTCCACACCGTGACACCTCTGAGTTTAAACAAACAAATTAAATTTAGTAATGTGCAATTTGATTTGTTTAAATTCAGGCCATATAAATTGTTTGCAACCAGTTTAACCACTTTACTAACAATTTGTAAATGTAGTTAATGATTTTTTTCAGTGCATGACTAAATATTACAATTGAAGTGAATATGTACATGAATTAGACACATAAAACCAACTACAATTATTTAATAAATACAATACTAATCACAAATATAATAATAGCCGTTATTGCACCGCAAGATAATTCATGTGTGGGAATAAAGCAACACAACTGATGCGGGTAGTTCAGGTGATCAAGACAAAATGTCAGATTTAGTACATCCGATTTCCATTCAAACTACTCGCATTCATACCGTAGAACATACTTTTTAAATTGTCAAGTAGTAAATTCAAATTCTAACGCAGTACCTACTGAGCAGTAGGCAATTTTAGACGCAGCCTAGCTGTTCCATTTCTCAATTTCTTTTACTTCTGTACAACAAACCAAAGTCTGATTCAGCACTGATTTCTTGTGGACAAGCTAAATAGTGCAACAATGATTCAGAGCACAGTTGTGAGCTGCTCATTCATCATATATATGGTTAGAAACATGGGTCTGCAAGTGTACAGTAAGCAGATTTAAAAATTATTACAAATTACAGTCATATTACCGACAGGTTATCGTATGGAGTAAAATGAGGGCCTTGTAAACTTGCAGCATAAAAAAAAGTTTTGAACAAAAAAAATAAACAAATGCAAATCCTCTGTGATGTCATGTTTCCAGCTGATGATGTCACTTGTATAAAGAATAATGTTCTTTATTTTTATTTACAAAAATCTTTTTTTTCTCAAAACTTCATTTTACAGTTTTTTATTATTATTTTTTTTTGCTCAATACTTTTTCAAAACTTTTAATTTTATGTTGCATGTACATAAAGCCCTGATTAGACTTAATATATTTTTATTTTAAAAGTATCCTATTCACCTCTTCATGTAAAGCAGCATTTTTCTAATACTCTTGCTTTTTCAATTGACCCCTCAGGCATTTTAAGTCAATGAAGCACCATAATCTATATTCTGATTCAATCGAGCCCTACTCATATGCTGTTTTCTTGACAAATAGTCTTATAAGCAAGATCACATGATGATCACGACAGCTTCAAGTGCAAACACTGCAAGAGGAATGTATAGATGAAAACAGACGAGGGCTTAAATGTGCAGTGGTAGTGAGCCGGATGCATCTGAATGAAATGTCTGGAGTGGGTGCGGTGTTAAAGATAAGCCTAAATCACTGACTTCAAACTTTAATCCAGGCAGCAATTTAAACCTAAAACTGATGTGTTTTATAATCAGTATGCATATTGTTTAGAAGCCCTCAATACTTGCAGGACATTTCCCTTATCACATGGATTGAAATCTCAAGATGTGTTGGCCAGCTCTACTGTAATGGTCCAAACAATTCTAAACCTTATACCTACAAACTTACCATTGAACTCCAGTCATGGGAACAAAAGTTTCATTCTGGTCCTTTTCTACCCTTGGGTTACTGATGATTAGGGCATTTGACTAAGCACAAAGCCATTACCTCAATCAGAGCTGTTAATGTTTCACTTCATGAAGCACAGCATGCATCTTCCACAGTGACTCACATAAATGCTTCGTCTACAGACCAAACAGTCACAATGTCTAAAGAGACAATGTCTCGTTAAATACGATCTTAAGTGTCCTGATTGTAATGACTCTTGTGACCATGGCAAATTAAGACTGGGCAGTTAAAGCAATTGATGAAAATAATGCAATAAAACAATTACCCCAATTAATCAGACCACTAAGCCCCTGACAACCACACACATTCCATGAAAAACCTTTTCCATAAAAGAAATTCAAGCTTGAATTTAGAAAGGGATAACTTATTTTTGGTCCTTTTGGAAAATATTGAATTCATTCCACACACTACAAGCATATTGCTTATTCTCAAATACTATTTAACATTTCTTACATCAAAACAGGATATGAACAAACACATGTAAACAACTTACTTCTACTGAAGCGAGATGGACGCAGAACTCAAAAATCCCACTTTCTGAACATATGGTCCAGTGCGTTCCTGTAAATTCTCAGATACGCATTCCACCATCTACTGAGGTCTGAGGAACAGAGAATATACGATTTATTAATGCGAAGCAGGTTAAAAGAGTCAGACCGAGCTCAGGGGACTGACCCAATTAACAGCATTTACTGTGATACACATTATGTGCTTATTTCTTTTCAAAGTTAAACTCCTGTAAAACTGTTATGTGAAATCAAATGAACCGTTTCTAGTTCGTCAATTATAAAGTCTTGACTGCAACACAGTAGATTTTCAGCATTTTGAAATCTTTTTGGTTTTATTACTATGACCCTCTGTACAGCCGTACCTGGTATTAAGATACATTTTGAGTCATCAAATAAAGCTCATTTGATCATTCGCAATAGTCACATTGCGAGTATTTTCAATGTTGAGTCTGAATAATAAATGATCATTTCTCAAGTGTTTCTGAGGCCTGTGACTTTCTGAGGGAGTTAAAAGCACTTATGCATAAGAAATTGTACCGTTAGTAACCAATTATTTTTTGACAAAATAATAACAATTCATTTTATAGAATTGTCTATAAATAGAGGACTGGCAGTATTATTTAACATTTGATTATTTAATTACTGTATACATTTCGACTCTTCGGAAAACAATGATTTTTATTTAATTATCATATTTTTCTTCATTGAATTTATCTATGCTTGTATATAGTTTATTATGTTATGGACTCCCCTACAGAATCTTCCCAATCAACCTAAATTTATTGATTCTTCACAAACATTTATTCAACTCATCTGGTGAAATAGTATTTGTCGCAGAATACATTTTTTTTTTAATGCGCAATGTGTATTTTTTTATATATTGTGCAGCCCAAGTTATTGATAATTTCAATACCGTGCAGCCTTATGTTATAAATAAGGTTTTCTAGTACACAGTAGATGATTCTTTTCGTGTTCAGATGATGCGGTTTCGCAATTCTTTTTAAGAAGAAAAAAAAAAGTTGAGAAATTGAAGTGCCCCTTTTACGGATTTTTTTTTAAATGGCTTTTATGCAGTGTAACACAGCCCTAAGTGAAAAAACATCCAGCTGGTATTTAAATCTAAAAGTGCACCATGTATAAAGTTATTGACCCTCAAATAGTAAAAGCCGACTCAATAGTCATTTTAACGAGTCACTCTTCAAATGGATTGCAGACCCAGGAATAGAGCTGCACGATATCGAAAATCTGACATTACAATTTTTTGGTTTTCTGCGATTATACACTCACCAGCCATTTTATTAAGTACACCTTACTAGTACCGGGTTGGAGATCCTTTTACCTTTAGAACTGCCTTTATCCTCTGTGATTTTGGTCCATATTGACATGTTAGCATCACGTTTACACAAAACCTTTACACCACCAGCCTGAACCATTGATACAAGGTAGGATAGATCCATGCTTTCATGTTGTTGATAGCAAACTTTGACCCTACCATCCGAATGTCGCATCAGAAATTGAGACTCATCAGACCAGGCAACATTTTTCCAATCTTCTATTGTCCAATTTTAGTGAGCCTGTGCGAATTGTAGCCTCAGTTTTCTGTTCTTAGCTGAGTGGCACCTGGTGTGGTCTTCTGCAGCTGTAGCCCATCTGCCATCTGCCTCAAGGTTTGATGTGTTCTGCATTTAGGGTGCTTTCACACCTATGAATCGATTCAGTTGTTCCGAAACAGAGATTACAATTGTTACATTGTTGCTCTTTGCTCTTTGAGCGGTTCGCTTTCACACTGCAAAGTTTCTAATCGGACCAAAAGAGCTAAAACAAGTCATATGTAGGGTTGTAACAATATACCGGTATGACGGTTTACCACGATTTGAACGTGCACGATTATCATACCATGAACAATTGCATATCAACGGTTTTAACCCTTAAAGACCGAGACAGCCGCCCGCGGCTAAAAATAAGTATTGCTCTTAAATGTTTAATAACTTTTGATCCGCTGATCCGATTCATACAATTCAAAGATTGGCATAAAGAAGAGAATCTCAGCTTTCCAGTGCCGTATCACATAACATTCGCGGACTTTCAGAGGCTCCGGAATCAGTGCGGTTACGTCATCAACATTTGACAACGCTGATTTGACAAAGAAACGCTCGTCACTGTGTCTCCGGACAAATCAGACATGATACATTGATGCATTATCCCTCCTCCATGCCCAGATTGGTTCAAACTCGCTACATCACAACCAATAAGCATAGGTTTCGCTTTTGTTTGTGGACCAAGCTTTTTGAACAACACGGAATGAGAGAAAGGCATACATTTATGCGCGGCTAAATAAAACGCAAAAAAAAAAGTTTTGCATGAAATAATTCTCATACTAAGTACTTTTGCATGCACAGCAGCACAGAAACATGACAAAACAGTGACACAGCAAAGACGAACTGCTGCTCTTGCTGTTTTCAAAAGACACAAATGAAGGTGCAGCTGTTTGTCTGCATTGCAAACAACCATTTCCAAATCCATATCCACAGACAACCATATCCATGCTGGCACATAAAACCTAAGGATGTTCCATATTGAATCTAGTTTCGTTATGTAACTATTTATAGTATAGTAAATATTTATATCTATTTTTACTGAGGATTTGCACCATGTTTATTTGGACTTTATTTGGACTTTGACACATTATTTATTATTTTCTTATTTTTATTTGTTCATTGTAAGTGGTGTTGTTTATAGTAACTAAAAATATATTATTTGGAAAAAGTCAAATTTGCTTCACTGTTCTATTATTTTGTAACATTTGTAACATACCGTATACCGCGAAACCGTCAAACCGTGGTATTGTTTTAGACGATTATCATACCGTGAAAAATTCATACCGTTACAACCCTAGTCATATGCGAGTAAACTCTCCTCACATTAGTCAGAGTGTCAGGGTTTATTTTGCAGCGTCCCGCTAAGCTGTCAGGAGAGGTGGTGGTTTGGTGGTGATTGACAGGGTGCGCGCGCGCGCAACGTGTCTGAGGAGAGATGCGGTGGGGAGGGGTGAGAAGGGTGTGCGACGATGCATATTTGAAGACCGGGAGGGAGACGCAAGATTACCGGGAGATCATCACTCGTTTGCAGGCATCCGGAGCCTCGCAAAACTTCCCGCCCTACTCATAATTCTCTCTTCATATAGCCGTAAGCCTATTACATATCCATAAAACACTGTGATATAACCGCGCTCGGATCGAAGCGCTCCAGGGTTTGTTTCAATCGAGCCGAGACCACCTCATTCAAGCGATCTCGGAGCGATTACTTTGGCGCGGAACAGAGCGCGATTGCCCTGTTCACATATGCCAATCGAACCGCGCTAACTGGGCAAACGAGATACGTTCCGAAACAAAAGTGTAGGTGTGAAAGCACCCTTAGAGATGCTCTTCTGCATACCTTTGTTGTTACGAGTGGTTGTTTGAGTTACAGTTGCCTTTCTATCAGCTCAAACCAGCCTGGTCATTCTCCTCTGACCTCTGGCATCAACAAGGCATTTGCGCCCACAGAACTGCCGCTTACTAAATATTTTCTCTTTATCTGACCATTCTCTGAATACCCTAGAGATGGTTGTGCGTGAAAATCCCAGTCGATCAGCAGTTTCCTGAAATACTCACCAGCCTGTCTGGCACCAACAACCATGCCACTTTCAAAGTCATTTAAATCACATTTCTTCACCATTCTGATGCTAAGTTTGAACTGCAGCAGATCGTCTTCAGCATTGAGTTGCTGTCAAGTGATTGGCTGATTAGAAATTTGTGTTAACGAGAAGTTGGACAGGTCTAATAAAGTCACTGGTGAGTGTATATTGCATTATAAATAAAATTTCACCAGATAGTTTAAATAGCTCTATTTAAAAAGAAATCCTTTCATTTAGATTAATCGAGGGGGATTTTATAAGTCTGCTGATTACAATCATGTTAAAAAAAAATAAATAAATAAACAAACTGCAAGCAAAACAATTACAACTGAGCAAAGAAAAAGTCAAATAAACAGTGTTTTATGGTTTTCTGGAGAGTCAAACTGTTTTAGTTACATAAAATAAATAATGAAATGTAAAATAACACTTTAAAGTCTTCATTGTAATTAAGTACAATTACTCATCATTAAAGCTACAAATACACATTTTTGTGCCCAAACATTTTAAACTCTCTTGAAATGACTTTAAAACACATACAAGGTTTCACTCAGTTATGGTTGTACTTTGCCATGTATTCTCAACTGTTGTGCTGATCAACTATAATCCCAAATCAACATTGCATATGCTGGAACATGACTATTGCGCATGCACACATTGCGATACTGATGCTGAAACAATATACTCTGCAGCCCTATCCAGGAACACTTGAAACAGTAGACCAATCACCATTGATTACAGGGAAAAGGGCAATGACATTGAGTGACAACTATTTTTTTGTCAAGATGAGAATGTCATTCAGTCAAATAGCCCCAGTTATATCTATTTGGATCGAATAAAGTACATATAAGTAATTTTAAGCCCTTTTAAAACACTGCAAATGAGACCTTGGGTGCCATTATTGCACTTAGTCTCCAAAACAATCTCTCTAACCACTGACGCAGTAAGAGCTTCAGACAGGATTTTGTGTTTGTGAAAAATAGATAAGATTGTTAACACTAGTTTTCAATGCTGTCCAATAAAAAGTGCAACTGTAAATTTGAATTATGACTTCACTTATGGCCACCTGAATCATAAATTCTTCATCGGTTGAATATAAAAAAAGCAAATATATGTATTAAAAGGGTTTCTAAATGATTGCCATTATTTATTTATTTTTGTTATTCAACATAATTGTCCATCACTGAATGAAATTAAATGATAATTTGACAGCTTAAGCTTTTGTAATTTACTTCAAATTCCTCCATAACAAATATAGAAAACACGCTCAAAAACAAACACAATGCAGAAGACCATAGCAAGAAAAAAAAAACAGATGGGAATTGCATATTTACGGCAATTAACGTGTAAAACTACTTTCATAGATACACGCTATGGTAATTAGTTGATTTTAAAGGCACTTGAGATATGTTGCCTACAGGCAATACATCAGATGACGCAAAAAGCAGAGGTTTTATTAAATAACTGACATCTCTCGAAGAAAACAGGAAATTAATGTCCCCACGATGTTTTGGTATTATGTATACTATATCCCTATCCCCTTCACTCACATATTTTCTGTTTGTTACAAATGTACATGTATTATGACAAATTTGCTAATTTATTAACTTTTTAATACCAACAAATCAGTTGTTTTTGGTTTAACGTTAGAGTTAAAGCCTTTGGTATCCTACTATTTAATCACCTTGTGACTTATTTTCACTGTTTCAACCAGAAAGAGATCAGTTATTGACAATGTATACACTCCCTCCCTTCAAACGGAAAACTGTCCTCATGATACTTTTGTTCCCTTTGAATAAAACCAACAGCGACATATAGGCTACTAACGCTTAACTTTTAACACACAGCGATAAAACCTGCATTGTAACATTTCAACAGACAGTGAAATAATGAGAGATTGTACCTTGTTCTCGCAGACAATCTGTTGTTTGCTGCCTGGATGTAGCGCGCTCGTGGGCTACAGTTGTGACTATCGAAAAACCAACACAAGCCACACGCACTTACCGTAAATAACAGAAGAGAATTCGCGCGCAGCGGCGGAAAACTACCGTAAGAAACGTAGCTGACCAAAACATCTCCACTTTAACCGTAACCTTGTGTATCGGACGACATGCGCATGTACTGAGGGGTTATACTAAAGCCGAATGTGCTATATTGACTGCTTTTTGTCGATATGAGTCACAACCTGTGTTTGAGATTGATGACACAACCTTAAATAGGCTACAACGTAGCCTTTATGTTTACAAAAACAAAATGTAGTTTCTGCGTGAGACACATTAAAGTGACAAATAATAAACTAAATGTAAACCAGATACTATAAGAATTATATAAAGCAATTTGTAGACATGTTTAGAGAGTTTTCTGCCTTGAAAGATTAAGCGTATCTATCAGCTTAAAGAGACAGTTTATCAAAAAAATAGTCAATATTTACTTGCCATCAAATGGTTTTAAACCTTTGGGGGTTTGTTTATTCTGTTAAACAAAAAATAAGATATTTTGAAGAATGTTGGAAACCAGCAGGCTAACTATTGACATTCATTAAAAACAAATATGGAAGGCAAGGGTAAAAGGCAGTACTGTAAAATAACAAATTACAAATACTCAAACGACTGTAATTGAGTAGTTTTTCTCAGAAATTGTAATTTACTAAGTAGTTTTAAACTTGTGTACTTTTACTTTCCCTTGAGTACGTTTTTAGTGTTGGTACTTCACTACTTTCCTTCAACCTGTCACTACTTTATTTTTTCTTGTCTATGCGAATTAGAAAAATCAGTCCTGTGATTGCTTCTGTGATTGCTCTAATCACACATAGTAGATAAATTACATAAGAATTAACTACCTCAAGACACGGGCAATGTCCAAAAAGATGTTCAAAATCTTTACATGCATTAACCAGAGACTGTTTAGATGCATGTCACTGCATGAGAAGATGACGGATGTTTACTGTATGATGACCGAAATGCCCTTAAACACCCAGCAGGCACAAGACGTCAACATGACAATTGACGTTGTTCCCCAACGTCGTGAAGGTGTTGCATTTTGTTTGGAAATGAAAATCGGATTGACGTCCAACATCAGGCCAATATTAATGTCAAACCTAAAATCAACCAAATATCATCGTCCAATGATGTTACAGCTTGACTAAGTGTGGACGTTACCACTATGACATTTATCAGACGTTGGATTTTGGTGGTCAAACCCAAGGACTATGTCATTATTTTATAATCAATATGACATTGGTTTAAGATGTTGGCTCGACGTTGGATTTTGGTCACTTTCTAACAATCTAAAATCAGCCAGATATCAATGTCATTTCACATCCTTATTGGACATCAAAAATAATGTCCTTAGATGCTGACTGGACATTACATTTTAGTCACCTGGCATCACAACCTAAATCAAACCTATATTAACATATTATGACATTGTGTGCCTGCTGGGCCATAACTAAATGCACTACAGAATGTTTCGTTTACACACATCCACAAGTTACATGTAAATGCATCAGCTTTTTACAGCGTAATACTCATTACTCACTCTTGAGTAACTTTGAAAGGTCTACTTTTTACTCATGTTTTGAGTAATATTTACAACAAATACCACAACAATACTCTATTTGCACTACGTTTTTGGCAAGTAATGACAATTTTACTTAAGTATGGTTTTTCTGTACTCTTTCCACCACTGAGGTAATCTTAAAATATCTTCTTTTGTGTTTAACATGCGGCGTGAAGCTTGAGTAAAATGATGACAGAATTAAAAAATGATAATTCTATAATCTTCCAAACGTGGATTCATTTCTTTTATCTCCAGATCACAGGAAACATGTGAGTAGCCTACATGGCAAATGTTGTTGTTTTTTATGCTTATATTGGTTTCTGCTCTAAAATGGCTTACACTCTACATGATTGATGTTATCTCGCGTTTTCTGTTCTACCCAAGAGCTATTACAGAAATATGATGATATTAGAATTTTTGCTTGTGTAATTGGACTTTTGACTCAAATGGGTTCAGTTGACAAGACACATCCCATCTGACCTGACAAAATGTGCTTCATTATTAAAGAGAAAAAATGAAAACTATTAAACAGCCAATTTAGTGTGAATTGGTGAACATGCAGTCCTCAGCATAAATTACAAGCAGCTGTGGGGTTACTGTGCTTTATTGCGAGTATCTGTCTTATTGTTGGGTGTAAATGATTTACTCCCATTATTTAATAATGTAACAATGCTTTAGTCTCTCTCATGAAAATGAATATGAGATATTTGCATGAGTGCCTCAGGAGAAGCCATTGATCAGTGCAGATGTATCTGTAGATTGATCAGTACTTGGAAATTTCTCATCGCTAAATCTGTTTTTTGGCCCTAGAAGCATTCTACAACAAAGCAGGCCTTTAAAGAAATTCATAGAAAGACCAACCCTCAATTCAAATAAGGTGTCTGTATGATATTTTATTATTATTACAGACATAGTGCACCTATTATGCCCCAAGTCTAAGGGAAAACAACTACGGGCATAATAAACAAAATATAGTTGTGGGTGGTGAATTTCCCAAGGGAAACAAAAAAAAATGTATGCAAAAGTTCCCCTTCTGTTGACAACCAAATGCGGACACTCAGTTGAGAGTAATTGAATATATTTATTGTAGATAAAAATAGCAATTTAAGTGAGCATTTCTCCAGGGTTGCCACAGGCCAAAATAACAAACAAAAGAATTTGCAAAGTAAACAAATTAAATAACCTGTAAATCTTTAATGAAAATTACAGGAAGCTTACCTTCCTCCCTGAACATAAACAAAGTCAAAATCTAAATAAATAGGCAAGCCACCCTACAAGCTCAAACTCCAAAAAGTTGCAAGCATACATGCAGATTTGGACAATAATAAAGCTCCTGGATAAAAAATTCAGGAGCTCTTCACTCCCTGCAACAGTTGAACTAAAAATGAGCTTCGCAAACTCTGTCAAAAGTTCTGTTTTCATTGCTCTCCGTGAACAGCAGCCAATCACAATCTGCACTTCATTAACATGGGAGCCTATAGGATAAGAAAAAACAACACAAGAAGGCAGGACAAAGAAAAAAGAAAAAGAAAAACACATACAATGAGCAACAAAAATAAATAAACATTAGTCATGCCCCGCAGATACAGATTTAGGAATGTTGTATTAAAATAAAAATAAATTTTCAAACAGAAAATATACAGTGCCGCTATTACAATCACCAGCAATCTAGCCCATGCAGATCACTGGAGAACTTAAATCTGCCAGCAAAAGAACTATATATCCAGTCATGCACCGCTCACACACACCTGTTCCAGGTTCCATTGATTACACACACACAGAGGGTCATTATGAACTGATTACTGGGACTACACAGCACACACGCACACCTCTGGCCTGAGTCTTGTTACTGTGTGTGGCATTACGACGCAGTTTCCTTTTCCTTGACTTTCTGTTTTTGATCTTTGTTTTGTTTGTTTCTTTACGTTGTATTCTGCCCGCCTTTTGACCATCCAGCTGTTTTATGACTACGAACATGGATTTTATGTGTACATCTGTTTGCCCCTGTATTGACAGTTACTTGCCTGACAATTTTACTAATAAACCCTGCATTTGGATCTGCACTCGTTTGTCAGCATCCCATTCACATAACAGCCGCGTACATAAGGCAACAGGGTTGTTTCTAGCCGTTCATAAATGTGGAAGTAGTGTATGAATTATATCTAGCTGCACATGCATCAAGTGCTGTTTTGTTGTTGAGACATTTACAAGTTTTGTTTCCTAAAAGCGACTGTAGATAAATATTCATCCTATTATCTTAATTCCTCTTATTTTGTTGTATGGGAAAAGTGAAAGCAGTTCAGAGTGTGAGTGAATTGCCAAACTGTATCAAGTCAATCAAACTTAATTTGTCCCATTAGATCATATATTTTACTCTAACACAATGCACAAAAAAACATCTAGCTTCTGGTCCAAACGGTAATAGACAGAAGCTTTAAATTACAAAACATTTAACAAATGAGAAAAAAAGGCTGGAAAAATGTCCAGATCCAGACAGGCTGACCTTATACAGCTGACCACATGGTACCTAATCAATTCCTGACAATGGAAAGTCAGGTCGCTGGGTACTATTTAGGCTACAAAGCAGAGGCATAGAGTCTTTTGAACTCATTTATATAAGCACATGATCCAAAACATTATGATCACCTGCCAAATATGCTGCTGGTCATCCAGATGCTGCCAAAGTAATGCCAACCAGCACGACCCCTGAAGCTGTCCCATGGTCACTGGCAAGAAATGCTGTAAATCAAACTGATCTGTCAACCCACAAGTGCTCAGTTTGAAGAAAATCTGGGAAATGTTACCATCATTAAAATATTATGTAGCTTGTATTACAAACCTTCTGTTGGCTCGGTTCAGACAGGATGTAGCCTTCATTACTTGTGCAATTTCGGTTTGTGGTATGTCGTGACAGTAGTGTTTAACCACAAAACACGCAATTTCTACCAGGGAACAGCAACCTATAAGAATGAACATTTCAGTGAAACTCTGACCTAGTCCATGGTCTCTCATGGTCATGGTCATTTATACTCAATTCAATACATGGATTGATTATTTACCATCTAATCCCACCAGACCATAATATGTAGCCTTGATAGGATACAATCAACTATATTTATTTTATTTGCCATATTATTTTGCCTTGTCAATATAGTCATTTATTCTGCATGCAAATAAGAATTGAAGAAAAAACACTTCCCAGTAAGCACCATAATGTCAAAAATACAATAAATTGACATCAAGCATGATATTAAAAAACATGTCAAAATTACAAATAGATTTGATGTCAAAACCCTGACGTCGATTTGACATCCATGCATTGATGCCATTTTGACCACCAAAATACTGACACAAAAATAATTATAATATGAGAAGTTATTCACTCACCTGAAAGCTTCAATCACAAATGATACATT